CTTTCCTTTAGGTTTTAATCGATAAATCTTGAATTAACTTTATAGTCGTATACATAATAAAGCCAAAATTCGTATTTCATATAACATACACAAGTACAATGTTATCATGCAATAAATCCACCGCATAGAATTACTAGACTCGAAGATCTAGACTTTGCCTTCAATGGTCCGACCTTTGACCTAACAGGTGTTATATCTCGTTGACCTTTAAGTTCCTCCCCCTGCCCCAACATACTTGGTATTTACGCCATATAATCTCTCTCTCTCTCTCTCTGCCTTTTTTCCCGTGCTATTCCTATCTCTCACTTTGATGCAAAACCCCGTTAGAGAGAATTGCCAGTGTGCTCTCTCCGGCCCATTACAATATTAATTATTTAGGTAAAAAACGCAGCGTGCCGTCGTGAAGATCTCATCTTTAATTAAATCCGCTATCGAGAAGGTATTCTCGTTGTCCGTAAAAACCAGGGAATTAAAAGTCAACGTCACCGCATTACCTTTGTATAACCGTAAAAACTAGATAACAGTTAAAAATAGATCAAAAATTTTTTCAAAAATTAAAAATAAAAATTAGCGCCCATCAAGCACCATAACGCAATTAAATTTCTTCAAGGCTCTCGTGCACACGCGTAAAATCCGCCGAAGCAATTAATATACCCTAAAAAAAATCAATTGACGCAATGACTTACATCAGCCATAGTGATGAAGTATCCCACAGGAGTAATTAACATGCACCGCTACCCTTATCGATCGCGTTGCATACGGGGGCAGCATGTATTAGCCAGTTTGTCTCCAACCATCAGTCACTCCCAGCTCGCTCGTTAAGCAACCCCAAAAGCGAGCAGCCACCCTCAGCAGCCCAAAGGGAGGTAAAGCTGAGTCCAGAGTAAGGGTTTGGGTCTAAAGCCGTAGAAGATAGGCCAAGGGATGATATACTCTGGTACGAAAATAAAAGTGTAAAGAAAGTTCCCAAATAAAATCTATAAGTCAACCGAGCCATACACTCCCCTTTGAAAAGACCTGTAGCGTCCCTAAGGGTTGTTCACAGTGTTCAAGAACGACGAGCGCTCACTCGCGATCAGTATACCAACAGTAAATCACAGTAGTACCGATCCTCAGGATCGGGACACCCCAGGAGTCCCCAGGACCTTAGTTCTCGAGAACTACCCTTAGCGTACCCCCGGCGCAGCCCTAGAACCCCCTAACCAACGTCCAACTTCTGGACGTAATTAATTCCCCGGTAGCTAACGTGGAATGCCATAATTAATTCTTGGTAGCTGGGGAACGGGGTTCGGTTCAGCCGCCCCCACCTTGCCCCCATTGGGTAGTAGGCTAGTCGCGCTCCTGAGTAGGGTGTAACAATATGTATTCCCTCCGATTAGAAGCTTCGCACTCAGTTATGCAATTAATTAAATTCAGTTTACGCCCGGCGATTGTTAATTATACAAGGAAGGAACCGTCGACGTCACGACAGCTTAAACAGTACCAAGTTGAACACCGTTTACCAGAGATACGAATAGATTACAGGATGACACATGGTGCGCGCCAACCGCAAAAACGAAGGGATGACACCGGCCAAGGTCTCCCATGAGAAATCCTGACGTCGATCATTATTTAAAGCCGGCGATAACGAATGCGTGGACGGACCTTAAGTACCCGTATTAGAAAGCGCCTAGCCTCGTTAGAGCGTGTCGAGCGAGTTGTTCCGAAAGTTCCAAGCTGGATCTAACGGGTGGTTTTTTTGCACGTGAACAAAAACGCCCGTACCTCGGTTACTTGGTTATAATAATTGGTGTCTCGGTCTATGCCTCTCTCTCTCTCTCTTCTCTCTCTTGGCTTCTCTTTGCCCTGGAGGACCTTCAGGGTGCCTCATTGGAGAGGCGCTGGTGGTCTTCCTGGGTTCGTTTCTCTACCAGCCTTTACTCGTTCCCTCGCTCTCTCTCTCTCTCTCTCTCTCTCTCTCTCTCTCTCTCTCTCTCTCTCTCTCTCTCTCTCTCGCACTCGCTGACACACGGGCACCCGCACCCTTTCTCTCTTTATGCCCCGACCCACACGCGGACCGCGCACACTCTCGCTCGCGTCTATCGGTGCCGCCTCTCTTGCGGACCCCTCTCGGTCTCATTACGTCCGAAATAAATAAGCCTCTTACTCTCTATTCTCCAGGCAGCCTCGTCCGGCAAGGCGCCGCCTCATCCCCAATATCCTCCCTCAATGGTGTCCTGCCACCCCGACTGACACCCCGGTCGGTATATCAGGGTCCCTCATTAGCCGGCAGACATTCATTAAACTGTGCGCGCGCGCACAAAAACAAAGTGCTCGACAAAAGACAGGAACTTGGTTCGAGGATATTCCCCTATACCGTGTCCGCCAGGTACGCAGTTACCAAACTAGTACGGAACAGTATAGATATACAGTACTGATACCCTGATACAGACTGTGCTCCGTTACACCAATGATACAACTTCCCCTAAATAAAAGCAGTCTCATGCCCAGTTTGACGAAGCCTGTACCCAGTGAAGAAGAGCCGAATGCGATTCGCTAGATGCCCGCGGTACGTTCGGACCAGAATATCCGCGTAATATCTGGCACGACGGTTCTGTCAAGCTCAGTATAGGCACAGGGCGTTTAACGGACACGCACGTGTCCCGCCATATTGCATTCACGTCGTTCGATAAATAGGTGGGTAAAGCGACTCCAACGGAAACCCGTGTTAATTAACGCTGAGTTTCAGGACTGATTTACGTGGCGTCTAATTAGCGAGGCTGACGGCGATATAGTAGGCATTTTGATTGGCTCTGCCGCGAATAGAACGACCCACGATTGGTCCCGCTTTCCGGTTCCGACGGAATTGACGACGCGTTCTCTCTCTTTCCCCTCTACCCTCTTCGCTGGCCTATCAGCCGATCCCTACCGATAGACTCCTCCTTGCACCTTGCCCTTACCGATCTTCTTCAATGACTGTCACCCCCCCCCCTCTCTAAGGCTCCCCCTTGTCCTTTCCCTTGACCCTTTATTTCCCTCTCTCTCTCTTCATTTTCAATCTGAACACAAGCCAAGGCCACCAAATATTCCGGGTGACTCTACCAATTAGGGATAACAGCTTCGACGTTCCGGGAAGAGGGCGCTTTCTCGTATTATCCTTCACCATTGGGCTCAGCGTGCGCCGCCGCGCTGAACTTAAAACGTATTCGGAGATCGAAAATAATTAGCGGCGCTTCGTTCCCACATAAGGGATCCTTTGTCTGGTATACGGGATGGCAATGAGCAGAGGCTATGTATACTCTATATATAGCAGGACAGACAGAGATTCTTCCATCTGTTCTCTCTCTCTCTCTCTCTCTTCAGTTTTAATTCTCATAGATTACAACACGAAATTCCGTTCCACCCTGTATGTGTAGCCGTTCGTTAGTGCCACTCGCTAGAAATCGGCGGCGTATTTAAATACTCTAAGGAATCCCACACCCACGTACACTTCTGGCCGATGCTGTCCAATTCCCTGGAATCCGTTTCTATTGCCCAATTAATGACTCTTGCGAGGTCTCCCTCTCTCGCTCGGCCAGCGCAGCGGGCAACCGATATCACTGCCAACTCCCTTCACGACGTTTACATCGCTCACCGATTTATACGCCTGACAATTAGCACCGCTCGCCGCACTGGAGATTAACGAATATCTTCTCAGCGTGCTTTTAGCCTTCCTTCTTCGTGTCTTGGAGGTTAGGCGCGTCGACCGCCGAGAATACAACGCGCTTACGGCGGCTTCTTACTGCACCGTCCGGGGGCTTCCTATTGGTTTGCCAAATAGTTCGTTACGAAAAACGGCCTTGGCTATTGTATGGGTGTCCTTGCTGTTACGTCATAATGTTAATGTTACGTGTATATATACATATTATATACGTGAGAAATTATTATACTAACTATTTACACCTACACGTGGTACTTCTGTATGGCGGTTTCAGCTTTTTAAAGTTCAGGCCTTTGCTAGGAGATTTTCGGGCACTTTAATGTATATACGTCATCAATATCTACATCGTGTTTTATATATACATATGTGTATGGTACAGTTGGTTAAGGAAAGTACCATAGAGAAGTGCTCGTTACGCGACATGCAGAAAAGTACAGCCCGGCAGCGTACCTTGGTTCCTTGTAGGTACTTTCGAGAATATTCCTGACCCTAATAGCGTCTTGTCGCTCGAATTCGTGCATGCGAAATCGGCTGCCGCGTACATGGAAATACCACGGCGCCGTTTGTAAGGCACCAAACAAACTGAGAAAGGACGCCCACTTGAGTACGCCTTCGATTGGAAGGACCCTTGGGTATGAGGGTTGGAGATCCAAAAGGTCTTGAGAGATTATTGGGAAATTACATAAGTATGGCAGTAGCTACTTTTTTTTTGTCTTACCCTTTATATTAAATCGCGAATATGGAGGCTTCGGTATGTTTCACGAGTACAAAAGTCGTACAGGTTTGCCGTATGATTTAATGTTAAAAAAAGAAGGTACGATAAAGATGCGAACACAATATTTTAATGTCAAAAATACTTGATAATTTATCATTTCTCGTTATCACTGTGATTGTCTTATCGATAAGACTGAGCTTCAATGGTTTCGCGACACTTGTTTTTCTGAATAACGTTGAAAAATCCATTTCTTTATCTCGCGTGAGATTATACGCGGATATTTCAGATTGTCGTGCATTGTAGGTCAGACCGAATGCAATAAGCTTACACGTACATATTGCTACGTGAAAAGTACAAAAATTAATTTTTTTTCCTCAAAATTGACATGCGTGATTTTTAAAAAATTTTTTTCAGTAAAAATTTAATAATCTCTTAACGAATAACGCAATACATGAAAACCCTGTGAAAACAGCTATGCTTCTAATTTCAGCCGCCTAAAGTTTCGTACCCCAAAGATGATACAAGCGGCCGAACCTGAAAATTGAAGAAGGAAGGGAAAAAGAGTGGCGCCAAAAAGTGAAGTAACAAGAAAGTAACAATTTTTCTAAAAACTTGTATTTTTTTTTTATTAATTAATAAACGTGTGTGTACGTGTGTAACTGTTCCGCGTGTCACGTGTAGTGTATACGTGTCCCGTGTGTGTCGCAGTATATTACAAGAGGCCGAGGCCGAATAGAGGCGGCACCGATCCCGGCTTAGAAATCGAGATAAATCAAATAACAAAATTAACTAAACGCGAGGGAATCGCCGTCGTTTTCGCCGGGTCAAACGTAAACGTGAACGTTAACACAGACGCTTCGCGTCGGCCATACTGAAAGAACCGGACGCCATCTGCCGTGTCTCGCCGGCATTACATAACCGGCCAATATCGCCGAGAGATGCCCTATAAATAATCATAACCGGAGTATCGCTGCGCGATCGAAGCGCCACTCCGGATATAAATGGAGGTGTCCCGTATCTGGAGGAAGACGTCCAAAAACAAAAGAAGAAGTTCCTCCCGGCGATTCTCATCGTGTTTTACAACCTCGTTCAAACGTCCCGCCCATCCGCGACTGTCCCGGACAGTCATGGATGCGCGCGCAACCGAGCATCATCAATGTTAATAGTAAATAACCATTTATATCACACAAATTTTAACAATATACAAAATGTACCTATGTACAGGTTTTAAATTACATCCTTCCACGACTCGTTCGAATCGTATCTGAGACAATGTTCTCGATAGTCGCCCAATGAAAAATTCTAGTCGGTCGTCGAATTACGCGAACGACTTTCTCTGCTTTTTTTTTTATTTGTATATTTATTTTATATATATATATATATAATAATAATATATATCTTAATTAGCGAGGTCGTTCGATAATCGCATTTACGCACCGACGAGAATTTATCCTCTCTCTCTCTCTCTCTCTCTCTCTCTCTCTCTCTCTCTCTCTCTCTCTCTCGCTTTTTTGTTTTATACTCAATTAATTATTCAAATCCTTGTACCATCGACTTCATTTCTTAATTATGTAGAGGGTGGGTGGTCTGTGGTGGTGAGACAAAAGTTCACTAAGTAAAAGCAATTGAACGAGTAAAATGAATAACGATCAGTTGTATGATACAGTTTACATCCAAGATTTTTTTTTTTTTTTATTGAGCTTCGAAAAACTTGGCTCGATGTCGTTATCCGTTGTTAATACATTAATTAGTTAGACTGACAATGGGTGCGAATATAATGTTTTTTGTTTTTTTCATCTTCTATATTCATCTTATTTTTAGAGAATTACGTAAATATCAATCTGTCATTCGGAATTAATTTTTCTGTTTAATTAGAATCACGAATGATGATAACGACATCGATACCAAGTACGGTAGATACTATATCGTGACGTATTAAGATTATACATTTATGTTACATTTATTGCAGATGCTCAAAACCCTGTCACTTTAAAAAGTGTTTCGACGTTATTTAAGAAGCTACCATTTTTTTATTCACTCTCTCTCTCTTTGACTTTTTTTCCAATTTTTTTTTTTTTTTTTTTTTTTCAGAATGCGATACGCCCGTTGATTTATTCATGTCGGTATGATTTTTTTTCTTTCGTCATTTCTCTATGTTTCTTGATACTTTTTTCTTTCTCTACATTTCTCTCTCTCTCACTCTCTCTTTCTTTTTGTACATAGAAACACTACCTCCTTGTCTCAATTTTTCGTGTATGTACAGTGCAACGCGAAAATTCTGGTCAAGTCCCAATTCTATAGGATACTACGTACGTTGCGTGCCAATACATTATCGATATTTATGCACTGTACTGTACACCCTTTCTTGTGTTATTCGTTATTATAAATCTCGATTGTTAACGTTCAAGAATGAGAAATTTTTTTTGGGAAATTTCACAAAAGTTCACAAAAGTCTTACTGATGTCATGGAAAGATGCTATGTGAAGTATCTTTTATTATTATTTTTTTTTATATCAGACCCAATTTCGAACCTTATATCCTTGGGCGCTGTCAAAAGTACTCAAACAAAAAAAAAAGTAAAAAATTTCAAACTCATCATTTTCAAAATTCTTAACATAGTCCATTCGTATTTCAAAAAATAATTTCCCCTGCGCTTTAAGACAAGACGTCATCTCACTTGCATCTATTTTGGGCTTTCCCACGTATTGCCACACCGTTTATTGCTTGCACGGCAAAATCCTGCAGGTGCACTCACACTGCACACTTGGGTCAAATTCGTTATGAAAATTTGGAAAATCGAAATGGGTCTCGTAATTTTCGTCGAGCGACTCGTTAGGTTTACCTGGGTGTGAGATCTTTGGGGATGATTTGGCGAGTGGGCGGTTGAGAGGGAGAAAGAGAAAAAGAAGAAGAATTGATAATTAACCATCCCCGTCGCGAAAACAAGGAGCGCTTAACGAACTTAGCACGTTGAATTTGCTCGTAGCGGTAGCTCTGACTGTAGAAGGGACGTTACTACTTGGAGGAAGGGGCCCAGGACACGAGGGGTTGATTCGGTGAAGGGGGTGGACAGTAATAGACGGGAAAGAGGTCGGTAATTCTGAAGGAAAAATAATTTTCTAAAAGTCAATCAGGACCGCTGTAAATCGTTTCCAGTTTAGTCTTGAGGTGTTTCAAATGGGTAAATTTATTTGGAAATACGAAGGTGGATAAACTGAGGACCAAATAAAATAAATATACGCCAAAGCTATCGGTACTGGCGATAACCATGTAAACTACCCTGACAAGTTAACGGTATCAACCCATGAAAATGATGTACACCGTGGTCCATCTAAGTACATGAAAAATAGTGCATGTATTCGCATGACCCAAAGGTAACATAACTTTTAGATCAAAAAAAAAAAAAAGAAAATAAACCAGAAAAAGATTAACGAGAGAACGAAAAATTTAACTATTTTACGTAACCTTCCTTTACTTAAGTAGTGAGCAAAATAAGTACTGTCTTTCCGCTTGAGCAATGATCGCTGATCTTAAAACGACCTGTACAGGTACATCCATATGGATAACGTGGGAAACGCGAAGTATGATCCAATGTAAGATTGGCGAGCCGAGCCGTAAATTCCCTTTTTATCATTTAAATATAAATATTCAGTGTCGCTTGAGAAGTTCATAATTTCAGGGATAGAATCGTCATCCCTTAATATCCTGCTTTATAATATCCATCATCATTTTGGGTTTTTACTTTTCCTAAGAGCAGATTAGAACACTTCACCTTACATACTCTTGGCGTTATCACTCGTGCTTCGACACACGTCATTGGTCTATCGACACGCGCTCCGTATCCTGGCGATCAAGCCTGTCTCATATATACAGAAATCGGTCAGGTTGTAGATCCTCATCAGGATTCTTCGTCGATGATCGATCCAAAGACACGTCCTGTTACCATGGTCGCAGGTACTCCAGAATCCACCCAGTCGACAAAGACCTAAGTGCAGCTCGGGACGACCTGCTATACTCCGTCGGTGCTAACTTCCCTGCATCCTCGGGAAGATCCCACGTGCACCATCTTCAAGAAGAAACGGGCAAGAGCGCGCGATTCTCTTATCACCAGGAGTCCTGCTCATCCGCAGGGACACAACCGTGGAGACCCTAACTTGCATCCACACCCTAAGGCATTAACCACCTCAGTCACAGGGGTCACCCCAGGGCGTCCATTCTTGATAAGTAGGGTGATGCGCGTGTCCAGGAAGTCCAGGATTAACCAGTCCCATCTGATGATGATGATGATGGTGGTGGTGGTGGTAGTGCTGATTACCCGGCGGAGGCGGCGAATAGGGATCCCCCCCAACACCGACGTCCACGACGTCGACCTGCGGCGGCAAAGATGCCGCCACTGTCGCAGCGACGACGGGCGTCGGTTGAGGAGAGGGTTGGACCTTCTTCGGGCGACCGACCGGGTTGCCCCCTCATTCGCGGCTTCTTCTCGGACGTCCGACTTTACCCTTCCGTACTGGCGCACCGCCGTTTCCGGTCGCCGTCGCCGCCGCGACGCCCGACGACTTCACTATCTTGTGCCAATCCGTTTCGCATACCGGCGCCCCTGACAGTAGGCAATATCTGAAATGTAAATAACGGGTGTTCACATTAATTTATCTGTATCCCATGGACTCTTAAACATTCTACGTGGTGGCTCGAGCAATATTATAACCAGTCTGAAGTTGGCGTCACCAAAAAATAGTCAACTTCAAACGGTAGAAAAATCATAAAAATAACCTCCATACACAGCTTATGCGTAATATGCCTTATGACCTTATCAGTAACATGACACCTGAACTATACTATACACACATATATGTATATATTATAACGGGCTGCCCGGCTCGGCTCGTCCCCGCTGTAATTAATTTTTTTATCCATAGAGCCGCCAGGGAGCGCTAGAGGGCTAGGAATTACCGAAAAATTAGGAGTCCTGATCGGGATTCGAACCCGATACCTTCGGACTGCCAAGTCGAGCACTTACCACTGCGCCACTGAACCCACTGTCCGACCTGATAAGTCCTATTTATTTATTATTCGGTCATTCCTAGGTGGTATCCCCTCCAGCTCTGTAACGCCACGTTACAATATATGTACTCCAAATAGTCACAAGATGTCTCACCTGTCTCCTTGCATGAGTTGTGCCCCACATTTGCTGCAGACAAAACATTTCAGATGAAATACCGATCCGCCTGCTCTCATTACGAGCTCACTGGCTGGTATCGTGTGTCCGCAGCCTGCGCATGCGCCGCTGCTACCGAACAATCTGCAACAGCAAGAAAGAAGCCGTACTTAATAATCAAAGCCAAGAAAATATTTTAATCAAGCTCCAGGAACCAATCGTTATCATCGGTAACTTCACGTATCGACGAAGTCTAGTGAAATTCGCAGAGAGAGAGAGAGACAGACGATGACGTAATCCAATTCCCTAGACAGGGATACAACCTCAGCCAATTAGAGTGTATAAGCGTATACAGATGGGTTCTTATGACACTCAGCATCCTTACTATAAATATGACGTGTTTCCAATTAAATCGTGTGCGATCACGCGCGCAAACACTTTCTAACTAAATGAGCTTCTAGGCTCGCCCGTATTCTCTCGCGTGTGTCGTTTTCTTTCCTCTATCTCTCTTCATCTTCCCTTACTCGTTTATTCTCTCACTGTGCATCTCTCTCGCTCGCGCTCCTCTACGCTCTTTACTCCGAGAACGGTTAAACGAGCACATCGATATAATAAGGTGTTGTAAATGCGCCTTTTAATTGGCAGCCTCTGCAGATAACTCGGCACCGTGTACCGGGCGCGTTTGCTATCGAGATGCAGCCAATGTCTGGCTTTTGCCACCGTTCAACCCCAACTAACGGTTCGCTATGATAATTATTATCCCAGTTGGTACATCGTGTTTTCTCAGAATTATCACTTCGTCTCTCTCTTTCTCCTACGTTTGTTTTTTTCGAAATTTCGAAAATTTTACATTTTCGTGTTCCGTTAAAAAAAATTTAAATATACCATTTTTGTACTGTGATATCGTATTTCATGCTATAGGTTAAAGTTATGAACTTTTTTTTTTTTGGAAAATCTCTTTTCATCTCTTTTGTCTATGTTTCCTTCAAGTTCCTTGCAACTATACGGAATCGGACAGCGGCATCAGCGTCTAGCCAGCGCCAAACTGGTTTTAATTATTCGCTTAATCTGCACCGGTTGTTAGTTCTTGGTTAGCTGCTTTTCGCTTCTTATATACATATATATATATGTATATATATATTATAATACGTCGAATCCAACAGCGACGTTTCCATCTTTCGTCTCGGTAAGAAAACACCTAGTGCGAAAAAGACCGTAGCGAAGAAGAAGGTAGATGGGGTATGAAAACTGAAAGCACCATGGACCAGACTTCCATATTTTAATTCGCCTCGTTCCTTCCGAAAGCGCAATGAAAATTTTATCCACAAAATCGTTACGGCGGATCACTCTAATCCGACTCAGTGAAAACCAGCATAAAGTATACATACTCTAAAGTAAATGTAAATTACATATAAAGATACCAGTATAAAAAGATTTCCAAAACCAAGGACAGCACTTAAAAGTCTCTACATGCCTATACATATATGCAAACGTGTAACATGCTAGCCACCTGCTAACTCCAGCACGCGCCACGAATATCCCTATTCAAATTTGCCCAGTAAGACTTGAAGAAAAATCCGCATTTCCCACGGCTCATAAAATTCTATATTTACACAGCAATTAGCCTCGACGCTGCATCTACGGCCGCTTATAAATAACTGCACTCCCATCCGGTGTGATCTACTTTAATGCGAAGAACTTTGATACCCGTTAATCTATACGGACCTTGAAATTTTCCATATTCCTCAGAATCATTTTTCCTACGTCCAAATGCAGATAAATCATTTATATATATATATATAAACTAACCATACACAGCATATACATAGCTATACCGAATCCACGTAAAAAAGTAACCATTGTTCAACGCACTGCGCCCAGTAATTAAGTAAAGCTGGAAAGTCAGTCTTAACGAGGAGCCAATAAGTCCGTACGTAATTGCACCTACTGTACGAGCATCGAGCCAAGGTACCTCAGCAGTGCACGGAGTCTTGGTCCATACAAGCAGCATCCCTTGGCCTTAAGTAATCGTCCAGCTACGCTTCCTCATTCGACGCAGAAACAAGGTAAAGTGCATAACGCAACGTGTAACGTGGATACAGAATGTTCAGCAGATCCCAAGTAAAACCACATCGAAACATATACGTATAGGCGCACGTTAAACCCGAAGAAGATGCATATAATTTATTTTCTCCTGAATGTGAAAGGCCTCCATTCCGGCACAGTGTGCCAGAAGAGCGTACAGAGAAACTACAATATCTGTACATACGATTTTCCTATCTGTGAACTTGTCGTTCTTGTCCGTGGGTATAGAACTCAGGCAACATATATCGTAGAATACAGTGTAATACGTTCCTCGTGTTTACGTGGGTGTATGTATACATATATATTGTTTTATATATATTGAAATCTTGTATTTGTATGTTAACTGTGCCTGTATGTAGGACTCGAAGTCGTAAGCGCAAATGGTTGCCAGGACGGATCGGATTGGATTGGAGGTTTCTCGTTATTAATTTAGTTGCCGCTTGACAGTTCTATAATTAAATTGCTAATTTATCTGCCGGAGATCTGCCGGGTACGGAGTGGCGGCTCTCGATGATTGCCCGGAATGACGTTTCAATTCTTCTTCCATAAAGCTTTTTAATTGTCTACGCTATGGCTCGTATACGCTTTCTGGCCTTTATTGCTGCTGTTCCTGGCCCTCGAAGTATAATTACAATGTAAGGCGTTGATAATAATATTTTTTTTTCTCTTTTTTTTTTTTTATTGATTCGATTAAATTCAGAGTTTCGTTTCTTTGAGTTCTGAAACACGTATCCGATAGGTTTTTGGTCAGCGAGAATAAATTGGGGTTTCTGGAATTCTACGAATGCGTAAATATTATGGTTTGTCATTAACGACGAACAACCGCGGACCTAACGAGCATACGGAGAGCGTGGCCGTCCAGTTAATTAATAATCTAATCAACGGAGTCTGATTAACACGTAGACAGGGACAAATGGAGACGTGGAGAGTGCGTGGAACAAGTGACGTACCTGATTTTCAATATATATGTATATTGTATATATATATATATATATATATATAGGTACCATATATGCACAGTGCTGAGTGGGTATACATACGTCATATACACGCCCATGAAATCGTTTGCCGGTTCTCGGTTCTCATATGGGCCTTTTGCCTTCTATATTTACCACGTGTATTATGTGCCTAGAAGAGAGTTCAGTTTTGACCCGGACCCTAGACTCACAAACCGACTCCGAGTCTATGCTCTCGGCCCATGCAATTACCCAACAGCCATCTGTTCTATCTGTTCTACTTCATCGGCGAGACCGTCGGGGCCTCTAATTAGTAATTACGAAGAAATCGAAAATAGAGCAATTTCGTATGGTTTCGTTTGCCCAGGCCGTTTCGTCACGGATCACGAAGGATACGTGAATTAGCGGATAAAACACGTGCGTTACAGACTGAAAGAGCGAGACGAAAAATATTCCTAATTTTCTCGCAGTCAATGATAAGGAATAATGCAAAGGGGAAAACATTTTTTTTTATTTTTTTATTTTTTTTTTAACGACCCTAATCGAAATTCAAAAGATCAACGACGCGCGACGTCACTGAAATTTTCTTCGTAATTCATTCGAATTTCCCGCCATCTGTCAGTCTCCTTTTTTTCCTTCCACCACCTTCTCATTCTGCCACCCATTTTTTACCTCGTCTTCCTTACTCCGGGTTGACGGCAAAACAAGAATGGCTATCGATTCTGAATGAGATATTGTAACCGTGCCTCATCAACGTGCCCATAGAAGAGGATTGATAGTGGATAATCTCTATGGACGTTATTAAATAATTTGGCTTTGAAACTTTCGTGCGTTTTATATAAAGCCCTGTTTACCTCTTGGTAATGCCGGTCTTCGATGTTAATTATCTTGACTAATAAGAGGCCCTCCCAGACCCGAGACATTCTAACCCATTAATGCCGTATCATTGCGCGGTCGAAGATAACCTTTGTCAGATAAGCCAGTCATTTATTACGTACACCGTAAAGCACACACTGGCTTTTGTACTCGTGGCGCATGGAGGCGCCCGAGTGTGAGGGAAAAAGAAACAATTTTTTTAATCGAATAAACCGCGACAATGCGAGGTAAGTTAGGATAATGAG